CCGTCCAGGCTCCAAGTCTCAGCCAGGCCTCCCCGAGCCCCTCTGTGGGCTGGACAGAGGTGAGCCCCCGCCCCGGGCCGGCACAGGCTGGGGTCCAGGCTGGGCCGCAGGGGTCGGGCTGCCACTCTGTCTTCTCAGGGGTCCCTGGTGAGTCCCTGGGGGCTGTAGGTAAACGCCCTGAGGACCTTCAGGTGTGTGTGTCTAACCTTTTGGAAACGCGCTCTGCTGGGCTTCGGTTTGATTCAGAAGTTCTGGGCTGTGCAGGTCGTGATGGGAGGGAGGTCCTGGCCTCGGCCGCATCGGGGAAGTGGCTGGGACAGGGCTGTGGCTTGACCGTCAGTAGCACAGAGGCCGAGGGCCCTGCTGCCTGGGGAGGGCGTCTAGGAGGTGACTGCACATGGCCCGTCCTGGGTCTCGTCCTCAGGGAAGCAGCCTCTCTGTGGCCCCTCCTCCCCTTCCCGTGAACCCCCGACACCTGGCCCCCCCCGCGAACCAGAGGGTGCCAAGGCTTAGCGGCCCAGCGGGGAGGGCTCTGCACGGGGTGGGGGGCCAGGTCAGGGGGGTGTGGGCTCAGGGACCCACACTCGGGTGCTCCTGGTGGGGTGGGGGCTGCGACCACAGGCTCACCGTTTCCCTGGTCTTCTGGCTTTGCTGCCAGAGCAGCCCCCACTCTCCATGGTCACTGCAGGGGTGGCCTCTCGGGGCGGGAACACCTGCCTGTCCCTTCCACGCTCTGCCTGTGTGACCTCCTTGAGTCCTCACTTCATCCGCTTCAGGAAGAGGAAACCAGGGTCAGGGAGTGTCTGGCAGCTGCCGGCGGCTCAGCAGAGCTAGGGCTGGGAGCGTGGTCTGGGACCTTCTAGCCCGTCCATCTTGGGGTGGAGCCCTGCTGAGATCTGCTTCAGAGGAGAGAGGGGCGGGGCCCTGTGGCCCTCCTGGGAGAGCGGCCAGTCGGGCAGCAGATGTGGCCTTTAGGGAGCGGTGAACACAGCCTGAGGGCAGCCGCTGGGCCTCCTGCTAGGACGCCGTCTCCTGGGAGAAAGGCTGGTGTGCAGGGCTCGTGTCCAGGCTCGTGTGCAGGGCTGGTGTGCAGGGCTCGTGTCCAGGGCTCGTGTGCAGGGCTGATGTGAGACCTGGGTGTGCAGGGCTGAGAGTGAGAGCTGGGTGTGCGAGGATGAGTGTGAGAGCCGGGTGTGCAGGGCTGGGGTGAGGGCAGGATGTGAGGCTGTGCCGCCTGCGGGGGCAGCCCCTGCCCTCTTCCTGTCCCCCATGCGGGATTTGGACCCGGCCAACCTGAGGCCCAGCACAGCTGGGCATATGTAACTGACCCCCTGATTATAATTGATTCCAGTTTTGAAAATAAAAGACATATTTTTTCTGGTTCCCCCAGTCTTTCATTTGAACAAAAGAGTGGGGGAGGGAGAAAGGAACCGTTCTGGTTGAGGGTGGAGAGCAGAGAGGGGAGGGAAGAGCCCCTCCGGCATCTGGTCCGCCCGCAGCACTGAGACCTGGGACTTGGGACCGCCTGCCCACCTCGGCCTGCCGCCCACCTCCCCTCCCGACGAGACTTTCTGCAGAGGCCACAGGGGCACAAAGGGGGCCTGTGCTGGAGGGGCCTGGGGTGAGGGCGGGGTGGGGGCCCGGCCCTGGGCGCTCCCAGCGGAGCCCCCGCCTGCCCGGCACAGGCTGTCCGTCCAGGGTGAGCTTCGTGCCGTCCAGATGCCCTGGGGAACTTAGGGTTACATGTGGGACCCCAGCTGCCCCGTTTGGTGGGGCTTTTGTGTGGGTTGCCGGCGTCCATGCAGGTGAGGCGCAGAGCGCCCTGGTGGGCGGAAGAGCCTTGGGGCGGTGACAGCCTTCTCTCCCCAAAGGCCTGGCCTGCTGGGTGTGAGGCCAGCGGGGGCTGTCCCTTGTTCCTGGGGTAACTGCAGCTCCCACGTGGCCTGTCTCTCAGGGTGGCCTGTGGTCGGGACCCCCCCCCAGGACTGCGGGCTGGCACTCTGGATCGGTGGAGGAGGGAGACAGACCCTGGGAGATGTACCGTCAGAACGTCAGTTCCGTCGGACCGCCCAGGAACGGTTTTCACCAGTGGGAGATGTGGCTTGGTCTCAGCCCTGCACCCAGAGCACGGCTGGACGCTGCCCGAGTGAGGGATGGCAGAGGCCCCCAGGCTCCCAGATCTGCAGGGGACCAGGTGACGGCTTTCTGTGGCCGCTGGCCTTGAACCTTTAAGGGAAAGAACAGGCGAGGACAATGTGCCCTTAAGAACATACTACTGTTGCCGACAGATGAGACCGGTGTTCCAGGTTCTTGTCCCGTCCCAGAAGAAATTCAGAGACAAGACTTATGAGGTTAAAAAGGTAAGGTGAGGATTTATTAAAGGATGGACAGCACACTCAGGCTCAGGGGAGCGGCTGCCCTGAGCTTCTTTGGCAAGTTAGCTACATAGGGTGTGAAAATGAATGGCGGAATATTCACTGGGGAGGGAAGGGTCTGGGGTCGTATTCCCTGATTTTCATCCAACTCCACCTTCCCGAAGGGAGAAGGGATTTTTGTCCTTATTTAGTCTGGATCGGAAGTGTCATGGCGTCGGTGCATGATGGGGACTTCTGATCTGCAAGGCTGATTTTATTGAAATGAGCAGAAGGTCACATTCAGACACTGGAGATTCCTGCCTTTTCTCACCTTTCTTGGTTCTTCTCCAGGCCACCTGTCACCCCAAAAGGAATGATCCCTCATCAGCCCCAAGGTTCCTGCTTTTCTCTCTCTGCCCAGGGCCCCCTGCTGCTCACATGGTATGTGGTTTCCTGCATTTGGCCCGGCCCCTCCTTTCTGCCCAGGTCCTGCCGTTTGGTCTGTGTCCCCCTTTCTCTGCTCACATCTAGCTGTCTGCCTGCTCTGACAGAACCTCTTCATATATCTTACTTTTGTGGCATAAATGGTGACAGAATGCCCACTGGTCATCTCATGACCTGGTCTCAGCTGACCGCGTGGGATGAGAACAGACTCTGAGGTTCAAGGCCTGGGTCACCTCTAGGTACTTCTTGGTCCAAGAGGCTTTGGCCCTGGGTCCCTCTTGGCCTCAGTTTCCTCACCTGTAAAATGGGCCGGTTGGGCCCATCTCTCAGGCAGTTCTGGGACTCTCACTCCCAGGATCAGTAGGTTCTCAGCTCCAGGACTGATGCCTAGAGAGGGCTGGGTGGTCCAGAGGGCTTCCTGGAGGAGGTGAGCCTGTGAGCTGAGGAAGGTTTGGAGAGGTGTAGGTGAAGCAGTGGGTTTTCCTGGTGAGAGAAAGGCGGGGCAGAGGAGCAGAGTGGAGGGAGCCAGTCAGCCTGGACTGGAGGGCCGGTGGGGACAGACGGCAGAGGAGGTTCAGCCTGGAATGCAGGCTCTCTGTGAGCCAGCCGGATGACTGGAGCCGGGGGCTGCCCTGGGGACCCAGTGTGGCCTGCCCTTCCACCCCACCCCACCCTGCAGGCAGAGGCATCAGTGGTCCCGCCTCGAGCCTCCCCACCCAGGCCTGCCCTCTTTGAAGGAGCCTCTGTTTCCCCACCAGAGCAGGGAGTCGGTGGGAGGGGCCTGGGAGCGGGCGGGAGGCTCTGGGGGAGCTGTGGGGTCCCGGCTCCACCAGGGAGCCGAGGGGCAGGAGGCAGGCCTGGTGCGCCCTGAGCCCTTGGCCTTAGCTCAAGGGTGACTTTGTTTCTAAACTGGGACAGTTGGTTAATGGAGAGGAAGCAGGCCCTCCCCGCGGCCCTTCAGTGCTGCCCGCTGCGTCTGAGGGTGGGAGTCTGACCCCTGGCCCGAGGTCGACACCACCGGGCGCTGCTCGTGGCCACGGGCCGTGACCAGGCCTGGGACATGCTCTCCTCCCTGGTGGGTGCACGGAACTGCCTGGGCGCCCCCTGGCCCCGTGCCCCACTCTGCTCCCCCCCCACCCCAGTGGACAGTGTGACTTCATACACGCCCGATTTATCTGCACTAAACCCCTCCTTTGAGGACAGTTCCCGAAAACCTCAGAGAGCAGCTCTCCCTGCAGGAGCTGGCGCTGGGCCTCTGCTGGTGGCTCCTGCTCCTGGTTGGGGCTGCCTCTGCCCGAGGGAGGGGAGGGCCTGGTAGGTTGAATGGAGAGGTGGGTGGCTTTGACTCTGCCCTCTGGCCTCGCCCAGCTGGCCGTGACAATCAGCTGGGACAGGTGTGGCCATTGCCGGCCCTGCACTCGGCGGTCCAGGTGCCTGCAGGGCAGCAGGGCTGCAGACCCCGGCTCCAGGACAGCCTGGGGATGGCCCGTGCGCAGACTCCCAGCCCCTTTCAAAGTGGCTGACTCTGGGAAGGGCATTCATGCTCACTCTGTGAATCGTTTA